ATCTGGACCCTTAGTCCATTTATAACTTTCTAAGATCAAAATCTTATTTAGCTTTTTGCTGCTCGTTTCAAATCCTTTAAATTCTTAAATTTATGAATAAAAATTTCTTTCATTCAGGACTGAAGGCAAACACCCAGTGTTTTCAAACTTGTTGTTCTGAAGGTCTCTAATAGCTTAAAAGTAGTTAACATTCAATTTCCAAAAGTGATTAGAAAGTGAGGTTAGCGAACTTAGTGTCCTTTAAAAGGTGCCAACTGCGGTTGCGAGCAAGATAGCTATTCCTGTTATCTCCCAGCACTCACACCTGTGGGACACCGCTGTTCTGTGGTCTCCTTATGGGGAGCAGCCATCCAGAGCACATGTGGGCAATTTCTTGTCCTCCTTGTCCAGAGAGGTTCTGAGGTACAGGTCTACTCACTGGTTCCTTGGTCTTTGCTGCGGTCGTCGACTCTGCTTTCACAGAGCCATCTTCAGTTTGCCATACTTCAAGTCAACCTCTGGCCAGTAACTGGGTACAAAACTGTGTGAATATTTTTCTATCAGTAAAATATTAAGAACTTGCAACCTATCAAGGAAAAGACATGTGTATTTATGTGTGTGTGTGTGTGTGTGTGTGAGAGAGAGAGAGAGAGAGAGAGAGAGAGAGCCTCTGCAGTAGCATAGTTGTTAGTGAAACAAGTACTTCTTTAACTCAACAGGATGCTCGTGACACTAAGTTCACTCATCTTCTACTGAGCTAGCCGGCTGCATTTTCTGATATGCATCAACCCGTGATCAGTAACTGTTACATGGATATACAGTTTGACCTAATTTGGGATTTTCTTTCTTTCTTTCTGAAAACAAAACATTCAAAAAGAAGTAAAAAAAAAATCCCTGTAAGTGATTGACCCAATGGCCTTTTCCATTTTCCCTTCTGTTATTTTGCATGTGTTCAGCTGAGTTTGGGTTTAGAATATCACACGCAATGTTACTTCTTCTCTCTTGGTGAACTTGAAGGGTTTGCATTTGAATACTTAGATATTAATTTGTTTCTGTTTTTCTTAGCTTGCCCTTGTTGCAAAGAATTCAGGATAGCCTATGATGCTTCCTTTCCTCCATTTCACAATATTCTGTGAGGTAGATGAGGTTGAGAGATAGTAATTGGCTCAATATTATGCAATGAATTTGCCAAGTAGGTAGGAATTTGAACCAAGCAGGATATACTAAAGGATTTTACTCTCTTGAGTTTCTGAAGAGAGCACTGGACTTTTTTTCTGAAATATGCTATCTACTGTGTTTATAATGTGCTCTCTAGTCACATATATTTTAGCATTAGTGCTATTAGCACCAGTTTTCAATAATTATATGCATTTAAAGTGCACAGCGTTAAACTCTGCAAACTGTATGCATGCCTCCACATGTGTGGAGCTGACTGCAAGGTGGTTTGTGTGGGTAATGTAGTCCCAAGTATAATCTGAGCCCAGTTTTAATTACCCCTTCCTGCTGACTCCAGGTTTAATTTGCTTTCTATTTGTGCAGCCAATTAGGTGTTGTTTTTGTATTCAGTAATTGCACGTACATTTCACTGGTGCCAATTCCAAAGTAAAAACTGTGGGTGGCTATAGTTGCGAGGGCGAACAGTGAAAAATAGATGGGTGGTGGAAGCAACTGGAAAATCTCTTCCTCCTCTGCCTGCAGTCAAAACAGAAAAGGAGTGGGGGAACAGATCAGGTTCTACAGCTTTGACACTACTCCCACTTATAAAAGCCACATATGACTTGATAGCAAATCTGCAGTCATAAAAATATTTGGGCAAGGCAAGGGATAAATGGAGTTGGAAGAATGGTTTGGGAAATACTTTGCTGAAGTCAGCCAACACAGAACTAAAGAAAAGCTCCTACTATAGATTGGTTCCAAAGGCTCCTCGGTTCCAAGATGTTTTCAGTCAATCATGGCTTATTGAAATAAAGATTTCAGATAAAATAGGACTGTTGCTGAAAATGGGGCCTCGCTGAAAATCCACTCACTGAAAAATATTTGAAAGAATATTGGCTCATAGTTTCTGGCCATCGTTGTCTATATATGTTAATGCTCCAAGTATGGGAAGTAAACAAGATGATGGTGGGTGCTTTCTCTTTTTCCACATACTGTATGTTAGAGTGGGAATAAGTGAAAGAAAATTGACATCCCTTTATTCCTATCTTGTTGATGTTTTAGGCTCCTGTGACTAAATTGAGAAGTGTAGAACAGATATTGGTAGACTGTAGCCCTAATTCAAGCAAATATAATTTTCAGCAGGTAAGAAAACAAAGCGAGTCTCTCTGGGCATATACAATGCAAATAAAGTTTTGTCTTCACCTCCAGTAGGCATGTCATTTTTCTGAATGCAGATCAAATCCAAATGCAGTTGTCACCTTTAAAAAAACCAGCATGCACACATATAAATACTCAAACTTACATTTCCAGATGGTCTTGTTAGTTTACTGTATGCTATGGGAACGGGCAGTAAAGGGTGAGGCCAAAATTGTGGCAGGATGGCATGGAGGAGCTGTGAAAAAGAGACTTTAAACAAGCTCTCTCTTATTACATGTACTTGGGAAAACCTGTGAGTTCCAAATTGGGGGAGACGTGTATATTTGAATCAGGCAATAACATTTTTCTAAAGACTGGTAATTTCTAGTATTATTGATTAACATACATTATTTGCTGATCTTTTGACACAAAAATGTTCAGCTCAGACAAGAAAAAGTGCTAGCTATCTTTGAATGGAGGTATTGGTTCATAAAGTGGCTTGCACAGTAGCATATTCTTGGTCCCAGAGCAGCCTTCCTTCATCTGGTGATCCTCAAAATGTCTTGGATGTGAATCCAGTCATTGTGGCCAATTGAACATATCTAGAGGTACTAAGTCAGGAAAGGTTGCCCAACAGAGGAGGTGGAGAGCTAATTTTAACCTGCAATTTAAGATTTATATGTTTTTTTTTAATTTATTTATATTTCACATTTGTCATCACCCATCTCCCTAGAAGTGACTCTGGGCGATTTACAGTAAAAGAATAAACATTAATTAAATTAAAATAAAATAAAACAATAGTCCTACAAATAATAAATATCACCCAAGATTGATGGTGAAATTATTAGGCTCAGATAGCGTCCTCAAGGTGCCAGCCACTCCAGGGTTGGTTGAATCACCAAGCAATGACAGCATTCAAAACATATGGCTCTTATAAGATCAAGTGCTAAAATTGTTTATAAATAATTCAAACTGTGAATTATTAGCATGGAAGAAAATTATTGATACATTAATTGAAACCATTACCTTTGTCTATCTATGACAGAATAGAGAAATGCCAATGAAGACGATCGCCACTGAGACCAGAGCATCAGAAGAAATAACTCTAGATCACACTGCTGAATCAATTCAAAAACTGGACAAAGAAGATCCTGATTGGCTGGAATCGTGTATGGCACACTAATATTGACCCTTTTATGTGACCATGCCTATCATTTTGAATGGAGAAAGGATTTACAAGGCCAATTATATAAAATCATACTCTAAAATTCCAGTTGTAAGGGTTACATGTTACATTTAGCAAAGACTTTTTTTAAAAAAGAAAGTGCTTGGTATCTGTCTGAAATTCTGCTGTAGAAGCAATAATTTTGGCTCTCTGTTGGAATAATGAAGCTTTAACTTCTATTTATGCCAATGCCCTTTATTTGTAAACAAATCCCCTAAAATTTTACACAACATTGTTAGGCCTCCAAGGAATCCACCTACCTGGAGAGCTGTGCTGACCAAATTGAATGCGCAGTGCAGAAGCACTGATCAGGCTGAGGGCATTTCTATCCCTCAAGATTTCCACTGCAGTTACCATTCCCCAATCCCTCAAAAGCATTGTGAAGCTGGTATGTGATTCTCTTCACTCATTGCCAACCTCAAAACATGGAGAACAGTATTATGATGAGAGAAAGGAGCTGGGAGGTGGGGGTTTCCACCAATGGAGGACAGATCGCCCAGAAGCTTTGCTGAGCTGCAGTGCTTCAAAAAGAAAGAAGGAAAGGGGAAGGGGAAAGTAGGAGGCAAAACAGTTCTTGTATACACAGCAGTGAATCCAGCAACAGACTGGCTATACTCAGGAGGTGAGCTGGCGTCATGAGAACAGGCAAGTTCAGAGCTGATTCTGAACTGCTGTAAAAATCCCCTATGGAAGTGTCTTCATTATGGAAGTTCATTCATGCAGTGGAATAATGTTACACGTGGTTTATTCTCTCTGGCTTTCTCCCACTCATGGGCATGATTTCATAATTCCTATGGGTGCTTCTAGACCTTGAAAAAAGGACTGAGTAACAATGTTCCTTTGCTATTTCAGTACGGAGGTCCAAAGCAGCAGATGAAAGGCGACGCTCCCTTGCCAAACACGCACGAGATGACTACAAGAGGCTGTCATTGCAGGGCATCCACAAAGGCAAAGCAGCTGACGTTTCCAAGGCCTGTAAGAGAGAGGAGCAAAGAAAGCCACCTCCTCCACCTCTGCCACCAAAGCCTAAAAACCTCACAGCTAAAACAGCTAATGGGAAAACAGAGAGGTTAGTAACTTAGAGGAGTGTTCACTGTCCTGCTGAGGAAGGCATGAACAGCCCAAGATGGCTCTGCTGAATGTCACTTTTCTTCCTTTTATAAGTGCTCTATGAAATTGGGCTGGGGACAATAGGCCTTACCTGCAAAAGCCACATTGTACACAAGTTTAAATGATTTCATTGGATAGGTTCATTGCCTTTGGGCTACTCACATTTAGCAGCTAGACTTGTCAGTCAGTCCTCAAACACCACAAAAACCTTCTTCCAGGTTTCCTGCATTTATTTAGTATTTTTCTCATTCCGTCATGCATTTCATTCTCTCAAGTGTGGCCATGCTACAAATATACAAAACACAACCCCTTTTCCTTTTTATGTTCATTTGAGTAAACTGTGAGTATATAGTGTAAGAATCAAACCATTTAAACTCCTTTGTTCCTTTTCTTTATTAAATGAAAGATTACAATTGGGCACTTAATGATGAAAAGTAATTATGAAATTCATTGTCATAATCTAAAACTGGGAAGGAAAAGAGAGGAACAAAAAAGGAAGACCAGGATTAGGGAAGGTCCTTAGAGATCTTCCTAGGAAACTGTAGCTACAAATATTGCTTGTCTCCCATCTGAGACAGTCTTTAGAGCAGGTAGAGCAGTCTTTAGAGCCTCTTTAGAGCAGGTCTGGTGGAACAGGGCTTTATGTGGGTAGAACAGGGCTTTATGTGGCTGGCTACTTTGTTCTGGATATACCTCTCCTTAAACCATTTAGGATATACAACATCATAATTTCTGATACTTCCACTTCATTTTTATTGATTCTTTACCACACTTCTTCATATAAACCATTCTAATGTTCTTTCTTTGCCTTCTTGCTTTTTCCATTTCCACGCACGTGGGACTGCAACTGGTTGTCTTCATCTTCGTCTTTGTTATATTGCTTTCTCCTGCTGATAGTGGTTGACTACAATTTCTTATGTGGCATTATGTCTAGGTCTGATACCTTCTTTTCACATCTATTAAGAACTGTTAACTTCTTGTAGAACTTTATTTCTCCTGCAAAATCTAAAGAAGTTAAGAAAGGCAAAGATAGAAAAAAGACAGGGAAGGAAGGAGTCCTGTTCTTTAAAACTGATGCTAAAGCAAAACAAGGCTTCGTGTTTAACATGGAGCCTGTTAGCACAAGCAAGTCCTTTGGCCTATCACAAGAAGCCAATTTAGATGTAAAAGCAAGCTTCTGCCTCACATTTTCTCTTTTCTTTTGTTTGGTGGTGTAGCTTGGATATGCAAAAAATGCCAAGCAAGTGATTGTCACAGCAGTAATAAGGAGGAACACCTTCTGCTTAGGAAGAGGTGCCTCCACAAAAATGAATTGGTGATTTCAGGATTTACTGATTAAAAAGGGTTGTTTATGGTAAGAAGGGAAACATGTTATGTAATTTGGGACGGCATAGATGCTAATAACCATGTTTGTAACTGCTGCAAAGATCAGAAGTCGCTTCTTTAAATATTTTTCTTTCTTTTTTTCTTTGACTTTTACTGTTTTTCACTTTTTCTTTTATCTTTTCATATCTTTTTCTCTTTTCTAATTTTCTCTTTATGTTTCGGTAGTTTTTAACTCTGTATAAAATTCTTTTTCAATAAATATACTTTAGTCTAAAAATTAGTGTGCTTTTATGCACATTTCCTAATGAGTAAGTGCTTTTTGTTTTGCATTAAAACTGAACTTAAATCCATCAAAATATTTAAACCACCTATTCTTTTACTATGGCAGAAAACAAAGGTTACAAAGATCTGTCCCCAGTTCTACTCAAAAGAGTATAATTCGGTGGTTTAAAGAAGAGCAGTTCAACCTCCGAGCCGGCTTTGAGAAATCAACAGATCAGATAGCACCTTGGTTCCACGGTAGGGGCACTGACTTGTCTCAATCAAAGGGTGTGAGAATTCAGCCTGGGAGACAGTGAAGAATGGAGCATTCACAGGTCTATTGACACATTCCGTCTTTCTTAAGTGTGCACCATCTTCCTCCCAAAATGAAGACTTATACTGCACAGACATACTAATACACTGTTCAGCTTTCCTTTTCCTTACCACAGACGCAGAGCTACACATTGGTTTAAAATTTGTTCTAAGTTATCTGGTAATGCAACTGATCTGATTCCAAATATTGCAAGCATAAAGGAATTCCATCAGACACAAGAATATCATGCCCCATTTTTTCCTATCTAGAAAGAAGTTTACATTTCAGATATGGGAATTCAGGGAACTACCCATATTATTACTGAAGCATCTAATTCATGTGAGGGGAAAACAAAGTACTGTTTCAACAAAATAAAGAACACTTCTATCAAATTTCCCCTATTTAGTATGCTAAACCAGGATGTTTCAGTGCTTATCAGAAAGATTAGATTTGTAGAGCAAATATTTATCAGACATCTGGTTCTTAAAACAGGAAGAAATGTCCTATAACATTAGAATAAAATTCCAGTTATTTTTTTTAATAAGGAAAAGTGTATACAGTAGCAATGGTTAACAAGTCTCTAAGTAGATCATCAGGAAGAAATAACCTTGCTTAAAGTTACAAGTTACTGTCTTATAATTACAATATTAGTTGCAATTATAATATTACAAGTACTGTAATAAAATATTTCAGCTGGTTGACTTTCTTGGCTGTCTTAATTACAAATTATGGGTCATATAATAATATAGTCATATTATTATATGACTATAATAAACATTTCTCTCTCATTCAAAAGGTGCCAAAAGGATTAGTATCTGTAAAGTGTTTTCAGCACTTGAAATACGATATATAAATACAGATGATAATTTTACAATAAATAATCTAAGAACTCCTAAACCATGATCGACCATAAGCCTTGGAAAAGGAGAAACTATATGTGAAAGATTAGACCTGTATCTTCAGCATCACTGCAGATGAGAGCAATGTTTTCTGTCTCATGCTGCAAAAAGTACAAGCATATCATATAACAAAAGGTTCTTGTTAAGATTCTTTATAGTGGTTTTCAATTTTTTTAAACCTGTTTTTAACCTGTTAGTTAAAAAAAAAAAATGTTACCTGCCTCTCAGGCCCACACAGTGATGCGTCATCATGAGCATCATGGGCATAAACACCTCCTATGTAGGTGGGGCTTCTGAATGTCAACTGACAAGTCCCGCCCTTTCTGCCATACCTTTAAAAAATGCTATGGAAGCCCTGCAAGTCTGGCATTCAATAGAAGTGTTTGTTGCCATTAGTCTCTCACAGAACTCCATCAAGCTCTCATGGGACCTTGAGTTCTGCAGAATACAGTTTTAAAAAACCTGCCTTATTGAATTAAGTCTATGTAGTATTAACTGGGAAAATGTTTAAGTGGATGAAAACACTGGACAGACAAGCTATGGCAAAGACTGAAGGTTAGTCTGTTCTTTTAGAGCATGTTTCCCATATAACACAAAGAATACTTCCTTATTTATGTTGCTTTTGTTTTGGGAACAGGTATTTTAACCACCAAAGAAGCAGAAGAACTTTTAGAGGGTTTGGCACCTGGAAGCTTTCTGATCCGGGTCAGTGAAAAGATCAAAGGCTATGTTCTCTCATATTTGTCAGCAGAAGGCTGCAAACATTTCCTGATAGATGCTTCTGGAGATTCGTACAGTTTCCTTGGTGTCGACCAACTGCAACATTCAACATTAGCTGATCTGGTTGATTATCACAAGGTGGGGTCTCTCTTACTTTTTAGCACATTCTATGTCAAAGTTAGAGGTTTAAGATGCATGAAATGTTCTTTCTGTAGGACCTATACAGTACAAAGGCAGGGTGCCCTGTAGAATTCTATAATTGCTTTAAAAGACAGGTTTGAAATTATCCTCATTGCTTTCAATACAAATATGTTTCTTTCAATCCAACAGTTACAGGCCAACTCCAAGTTAGAAGGAAAAATGTCTATTCAATATTTTCTCTGGTCATTTATTCATTCATGCAATGCTCTTGCATAATACTATACAATATCAGATGAGATAAGGGCATTTTGGGAAAACCAAAAAGGATGGCAACATGTCAGCAACTGTCAGCAAGTACATAGCCAAGTAACTGAGCATATGGGCCAAATGAGAGTTTCCCTTAACTCCAATAAGCTCCATGGATGCCAGGTCTGGTGACCTGCATTACCTACAGGGCCAGCTCTGCACTGTTTTGCAAATTCTCTGTGGTCATTTTTAAATTGGGGATGAGCGTGCTATGAAGAGCACATATTGGCTAGTGTTGGTGTGTGATGGTATCATCCCCTTCCTAGTTCACTAAAGCTATTTTGCAATTGCTTTTTAAAATGTGTGGTAAGAAGGAATAGAAATACAGGGAATACATTGTGGCCAATGAGAGAGAGAGAGAAAAAAAACCAGACAGAAACAGAGGACTTAAAATCTAGGCAGATAGTTAATTTGGTATAAATTAGATCATTTGATGTGTACTTCAGATTTCAGAACTAAGCTCCAATTCAATGGGGTGAAAACGTGCCATGACTGCTCTTAAATTTTTAATTTTTTTTAACAAGTGTATTAATACAGTTTGTCCTGCTACCTAAAATGCTTTGAAGCCAGTTGTAATTAAAGTCATTAATAGGAATTAATTTAATAGAATTAAATACTAATTTTACTGGGGTTTAGATCTCTGGGATAGGATTTTAGAAGAATGAATTCTTATCTGTAGTGCCTTTCTCTTTTAGGATGAGCCCATCACATCTTTGGGGAAGGAACTTCTTCATTACCCCTGTGGACAACAAGGACAGTTACCTGATTATCTTGATCTTTTTGAGTGATATTTGGAATGTCCACTCTAACATATGGAGGAAGTTTATGGAATGGGCAGGCACAGACATGGAGCCAGAATCCTTCAGTTTTTACAATAGTTCCTTAACTGCAAAATTATGATATAAGTATGTTTGATAAACAAGAAGTAAATACAACCAAGCAAAAAAGAAATAGGAATCAAAATCCTAAAGAAAGCAGCAACAGAGTAAAGCCACAATGACAGGCAATTGTGGTAATAAACTTTCTTTGTTCAAACTGAAACCTGACTTCATGAGTTGCTGTTAAATGAAGTTATATGAAACTATTCCAAAGAGTGATTAACATTTCTGGTACATTCTTGAAAGGATTGTATTTTTGAGGAAAGCCCCAAATGCAGACATAGTTAGAAGTGTCTTCATAACTTCAAAATCATCTGAGAGGGTGGTTTTCATCACCATGAACCAGTGGTGAGTATAAGCATGTCTGTAGAGTGCTATGGGTGCATCATAGTTTCCAACAGTTCACTTCTTTCTTGCCATATTCTCTGCTAACACAACATCCTTGGTTAGTTGCAGTGTTGTTTTGCATTCCTTTAAAAACTGTTAGTAGGCATTGCATGGATCAGAGCTCTTCATTTTCAGGTCTATGGCCCAGTTCTTTAGAAGACAAATCTTTGCCTACTGGCAAGGTGGGGCATGGGGGAACCAGATACATTTTTCTTTTAGCATGGAAGCATATAAGTTTGTAAGCATGGGTACAATATGCCTCTGTGCTTTCTTTGCTTCCAAGCTTACCAGAACAGATGGGTTCCCCATTGAAGAAGCCAGTCTATGATGGACAAACACAGTAAATAGTCAGCAGAAAGAGGAGAGCCTTTAGCAACAAATGCTAAAGTATGGCAGTTGGATACTGAAACAGTGATGGCCTAAAAATAAGTATTACAAGTGCCAAAGCATTTTGCCATTTTCTCTGAAAATGTTAGAAATAAATATGTTCTTTGTAACAGTACAAGCACAGCCACTGCCTGTTCTAATTGTGCTTCACTTCTTCAATTCATTTGAAAATAATCTAAGCTAGGTCAAAAGGAAAGCACTCATTTGTTATAATAGGTGCAGAGGGATTAAAATACTGTCAAAGGCTATTTGTGCATTCTACGTGCAGAATATGGACATGTCCCAAGTTTCCTTATTTTTCTCTTCATTTATTTTTATTTGTCATAATGAACAAATTTAAGAAAAAAATATTACAGTGACAGTATGAGAAACAAGAGAATTGTGAAAGGAAAATAGTAGTAGAAATGCAGAATAGAAAATAGAAAAGGGAAGAAAAAACAGAAGAAAAGATACAAACATTTATAGACATTTGACAAACTGACTTCCAACTTCTTTTGCAAAGGATATATACAAAAAAACCTTTCATACAACCCTTATTTAACTTTAGATTATAGCTTCTACTTTTCCTGATAGTCTATAGTTATAGCTAATCATTGAAACCATATGTCACAATTTGACTATGTTCAATTTCATGCAAAAAGTCAATGAATGGCTTTCAGTCTTTCTTAAATTTTATCAATGCTTTTTTTTTTTATAATCACTGTCAGTTTCGCCATTCCTGCTAATTCTGAAAGCTTAACTAACCACTCCTCAACTGTAGGTAGTGCCTGGTCTTTCCAATGTTGAGCCAGAAGCAGTCTCGCAGCCGTTGTCATATAGAAAAGTAGAGTACCATGTGCTTTTTCTAAGTGTATGTCCATCATCCCTAATAAAAAGATTTCCGGTCTCAATGCAAGTTTCCTTATTTTTCTAACCATCAGTATTAGCTGACTGTAATATTTAAATACATCTGGAAAATGTACTTCTACTTTCTTCTTTGTCTCTATTTCATCGAAGCTCCACTTTGAGGCACATTTTCCAAAGTTCAAATATGAAAAAATGCAAGGTGAATTGGCAAGTATATTAAAATCATAGTGTAACAGTATAGCAGGTATTATATTGGCAGAATGGCTATCAAGTCAGAAGGCTACAGGAACTTTGCCCACTGAAATATGGCAACACAGAAAACACAGTGGCCAAGTGATTGGAAGAGGTCAGTCTACATTCCATACCAAAAAAGGGAGACTTAACAGAGTGTGCAAACTATCATACAATATATTCAATTTCACATGCTAGCAAAATAATGCTTAGGATCATCCAATGCA